GCAATGTTATCACAGCCGCAGGTTAAATGCCCATTTGCCTCATCAACGGCTTGCGGGGCTCCTCCTCCATCACTCCTCTGCAACAAAAGCAACAAATAACTATCTAAAATTTCCTTTATTTTTCTTTTTCTTTGGGAGGAGGGGAAGGATGATAGGAGAAACTTTTTAAAGCTTCATTTAATTATCTCGTACTTTATAGAAATCAACTGCAATGAAATTCGGCCAGCGTTTTCCATCTGCTTCGAAGCAGGTTTTCAACATTTTAAGCAGGTCAGCAGAGTTGTCAGCACAAGCTTGTGATGCATTAGGATTCGTCGGAAAATAATTCATAAGGACCAAAGATCTCGAAGGTGTGTTCATTGGTGGAGATTCTGAACGGCTCGGGCAGGAACCAGTCATCCCCTCATCTCCATCTGCAAATTTTTCATATCTCAGCATTATATTATATCTTCATGATGTGATTAAGAAATTTCTTAGTTGGATATTATATGGGGAACAACTTTATGGTTCAAATATGGGCATAAAATCGTTTAAATCGAAAAGCCTTCCTTTAGTGTCAACTTTTAAAAAGAAACCGACTTAGTGTCCTCATAAACCCAGCTTATGCTTTTGACTACTCATCATATAACAAGGGAAAGGGAGCTTCAGAATTTTACTCTGACTTCTACACTCGAAAATGAAGTACTTGTACAACTTCTCATAAACTCTGCCTTTTAACATATTCAACTTCAAAACAATCAGATTTTGCTATATTATATCACTTACTCCTCCAAAAGCATAAATAATCGAGCCTCAATATCGGACTTACTAACGCAATGATATTTCAAAGAACCATTCGACGATCATGTCAACCAAAACCTTTCAATACCTCGATTTCATAAAGAAATAATAACAAAAAAAAAAAAAATCCACACATTTATGGTCAATTTTATGGATTATAGCATTCGGCAACTCACACTGATTTTCCACCACGTAATTCCATTCATAAGCGATCTTCTCGGACACCTCCTTTGACTTTTTCGAGGTGAAAACGACCAACCGATGATTCTTCTCGACCATACTATCCACAGTGGGCCAATCTCCACCGTTTTTGGGCATCTCAGAAAGTGGAAACAAATACTGACTGAGCTTGGATGCGTCGAACACTTTTGTCAAGCCATTTTGAGATGATACATAATCCTCAATAAAAATGGTGACGATCTCAGTCGGGTTTCTACGGAGAAAAGCTTCAATTTCTTTCAACACGTTTATTGCAGGTTGCTGAGGATAAAAGAACAAGAAATCGAATCAATTATGAAATAAAATATAAAAATGTATGTATTGAGAGATTGAGAGAGAGGCATACTTACAAATGCGGTTACATTGAGACACTTGCCGTTAAACGAGTGGCACAACCAGATGTCGTTGTTGAAGTCGTACATGTCGAGCATTAGACCTCGAACGCCATTCTACAAAGTACACGGAGTTCAAGAAATTAAGAAAATAACGAACATACTGTTACATCATATTCAATTACATTCTCGAAATTCATTATTCCGGTTGCATGAAATTTCTCAACCAGTACACTCTAGTGGGTAAGAGGAGAAGATGAAATAAAATGTAGCCATTATGAACCTAATTTTTCCCCGAGCAAAATCTGACTGGCAAGTGGATACTCATACCTATTTATCGGTCATATATATAAACATCATTAGTTATTACCACTAGAAATTTTGGAAAACTAGCATGTGTCAAACATCAATTATAACCAACAGTCATAATTGATCGAAAGCAAAGCCAAAAATCCGGCAATTAATATGCATTTGAATTATCAATGCCTAAATGCAACTACATATGGGACATTAATTTTCAATATTACAAAAAAAAAAAAGGAAAAAAAAACTTTTTTTTTTCGAAAACGATAGGAAAATGCCATTAATGAACTCAAGCAAATGTAGATTTTCCTTCACAAGAACAAATTAAACACTCCCAAGCAAACATACTTTGAGCTGATCAGTAACAGAGTCCTCCTGATTGGTCGGAGCAAGAAGATAGGAGCCAGCACCCGGTTTCGACCCTGTCCGGGCAAACGAGTTGTGGGTCGTTAGCCATGAATACTTATTAAAAGGCAGGCCCTTTACCTGTTCAAAATTTGCCGCTCAATCAATCAAGAAACTACTAATGAGCCCCCAAATACTAAGCAATACTAAGCAATACTAACCAATCACAATACCTTCGTGGTGGGAATTATCGGCTGAAGGCTAGTGCACCGTGGCCGGGTGTTGCCGTTTGCAGGGCAAGTGGCGCAGCTTAAGCCGGCGTCGCAATTGCCGCTTGAGCTCGAACATGTCTCACCAATCTGTTAATTGCCCCATACAAAAACCCACCAAGAATTTTACTGAAGAATTATTTTTCATTCAAGGGAAACAAAAAAGATGTCTTTTTTTCTGCCCCTTTTCAAGATTGTCTGTAATTTCTCGATTAATTTACCAAAACAATGTATATTATCAATCGATCGAGCTGAA